TCACCTACCTACTCTACGCACTACTCTTCCCCCTGGACATTCTCCACATCCTCTCGCATTGGCGCCTCGCTTACACCCATCACCTACTACCACTCCATCTACTCGCCGACAAGATACCCGCACCTACTACATTGTACTTCAAACCGTAATCTAACACTCACTCTATTCGACAACTCACCTACTCACTCCACTACTACCATCCATCATATAACTACAACCTCCTCTCAGTCATCAACCACTTTGTCACCTTCTGGCTCATCGCCATCACCTACCTACTCTACGCACTACTCTTCCCCCTGGACATTCTCCACATCCTCTCGCACTGGCGTCTCGCTTACACCCACCACCTACTACCACTACATCTACTCGCCCACAAGATACCCGCACCTACTACATTGTACTTCCAACCGTAATTCAATACTCACTCTATTCGACACCTCACCTACTCACTCCACTACCCACTACTCCACCTCACCTTCTGTCTCATCGCCATTACCTACCTAACATACTCACTAACAATACCACTCGACGTGCTACACCTACAATCACACCTACTCACTGCCGTGCTATCACCACTTGTACTACTCACCAACTACACACAACCACATGATATCACCTACTCACTCCACTACTACCATCCATCATATAACTACAACCTCCTCTCAGCAATCAACCACTTCGTCACCTTCTGGCTACTCGCCATCACCTACCTACTCTACACACTACTCTTCCCCCTGGACCTCCTCCACATCCTCTCGCATTGGCGCTTCGCATACACTCACCACCTACTACCACTGCATCTACTCGCCCACAAGATACCCGCACCTACTACATTGTACTTTACACCGTAATATAATACTCACTCTATTCGACACGTCACCTACTAACTCCACTACTACCACCCAGGGCACTAGGAATGGGAAACGGATCATGTACTATTGACCGGAAGTTATGCATGCCTGGAACGGAAATCCATCCCAACTTTGAGTTCGAGAACTTTGGTAAGTTCAGACTGGACGGACCGAACGTAAACGAGCTTGCAAAGGGTGCGGTAAGGTCACAACTTCTGCTCCCTGTAGAACTGACCGGTGTGGAAATGACGGTAAACAACTTCAACGATGTTTGCAGAGTCCTTCGAAAGTGCCTAGAGGCGTGTACACTTTTATCAAACCAACGAGACGCAATATCGTATACCTACGCTTGGAGATTCCAGCTGATCAAACATGTACTATTCCACGTGTTGCCACTTCCGCTACCAATACCAAAGCGCACAGAGGACGGAACACCGCCGCCATCTGGGCAGGTCCGGTGCTTTTGGGCTACGTGTGACATCGAACTGGAGACGCAGGTTGATATTTTGCGCCTGCTACAAATGTTAGCGAGGCATATTGCTATTGCATATTGTTCCCTAATAAGTACGAGAACCATTGAAGGAGAAAAGGCAATCATGTTAGGTGCCATTTGTGCCATAGCTGACGCCGTTATACGTAAAGTGGCTGTTGACACCCCCAGTCACATCTCCCTGATGTATTCAGGAAGGGGAAGGGGTCCAATAAGTGCATTCGGATTCACATTGGGTAACTTCGCGCTAGAGAGTTGTTACTACAGCCTAACAGACCCGCTAGCAGTGATTGCGAGAACCCAGGTGCTGGATTACTTTGAGTCGGTGGAACGCATACTGGGCCCGAAGCACATGGTGTTTGACTGGGAAAAGTCTCTTGAGGTTGGGGAGGGTGATGAACTGCTGATACACCTCTCGGCTCTCCAGCTGGGATTTACCAGGAACGTCGAGGAGGTTCGGAAATACTTTGTTTCTGAAAACAAGGAGTTCTGCGCGATGTTCCCGGAGTTTGGTTATTTCAGGGATATTGTTTTCATCGCCAAGTCCATCGGGTGGTCGGGACCCATGGTGCCCACGTCGAGGTACTCCCTTGAAGACGCCACGCTCAAGTGGTCAGTAACTACTCACTCCACCGCTACAATCACAGTAAAGTCGTTCGGTAAACAACTAAAGGTGACGCCAATTGGGAAGGTTCGTAGCTCCGAAGAACAGAACCAGACGTACTACAGGAAGATGATGAAATGGTTCGTGACCTCAAGCAATTCCAAATGTCATACGAGCGCTGCTGATGCACACAATTTGGTAGGCGATTACGAAATAGCGAACGAAACGGATGTGTTACATTTGCCGACACTACCTGATTTGGGGGGGAAACTGGGACGTCGTGACACAGAGCTGCTATTACAGTATCTCACGGCACCGTACGTTCGAATACCCCTTATCATGCAATTTTTCGCGAATGAAGGGAATATACATGCGCTATGCTCTCCTGCTCTGCAGAAGGTGGTTCTGGCATCTGTTTTTGAGCCAGGACTATGGAGGAGTATGGCAACTCAACACGTGTATCCCCAAATGGCGCCCGTAGAGTCGCCGGATATGCTATCGACACCTCTAGGTCTCCTGTTCAATGAGCTACATTTCTCTGCAAGTTGCATCTTGCATACCGTTGAGGAGATTGTGGAGCTGTCCCTGGAGAGAGACAACCGTGCCTTCGTTGGCGATGCATCCAAGGTGCTCCCCTTCGCTGTGAGGCTGTCCACTCATGTGTGCTCCTACGTCTATCAAGCCATTGAACACTTCAGATTCACTACTGTCTCGATGGAAGAGGAATCGCAACCCCGCATTTCCGGAAACGGTTGGCGAAGCAATGTCAGAGGCCTCAAGGTCAGAGACGAAGCTGCATGTTTAGAACTTGAAGCATTCCAAAAGCGTATGCGTGCGCTACTGATAATCTGCGCGAAGGCACTCCAGAAACGGGCAGTTAAGGCGGCGAAGGTCAATGAACAGACTGCTGCGGCCCTGGCTATGGGACACGTTGCGCTGATATATGGTTGTGTTCTGCAGATGGATGAGGCGATGCGAGATGACGATGAGCCGGAAGAGAAAGAAGAGATATATTTATCGCTAGGAACAGCTCTACTTTTCGTGTTCGTGCATCACCGGTTCGAAGTGGAAACCCCGGTTGAGAGTGTGGTCAATGAAACCACTGAGGAAGATATCGATGAAGAACCGCTCGCCATGCCTGAGTTGGAACTATTTTGTGTCGTGCAAAATACGCGTTCACGTTTCTTGAAATATTTGAGATCCAAAGGAGCTGGGTGCGATGGCATATTAGAAAAACTTGTGCAACGTGTTACGCAATTCGCAATGTCAGATGAAGAAATCGAGAAAATCAAGTGTGAAATGTCAAGCAGTGATAGCTGGCATGAACTGCAGTTTCCCGCAATGTCCGGTCGTTTCACCAAGGCTTCTTGGGTACGAAAGCAATTGAAAAAGATTAAAAACGATGACTACGAAGATGAGTCGGATCTAGAGGATGTGCTAATGGATAGCTATTATGTCGACGAAGATCTCGATGGCACTGCATCAGAAAGTGCGGAACCTGGATGGGCTTTTGACCAGCAGGGTAAGAGCAAACTGGAGGGAAGCACCGATGAAGGAGGTGAGGTGGAAGTCGTGAAAGATAGCGCGAAAGGTATAATCGGACAGACAAAGAGTATTGTGGTTGATAACACGAAAAAGACGGTGGGTATGTCGGTGTCATTGGGAAAGAAGGTGTATCGCAAACTTCGAAGGAAAGGTAAAATCGACAAAATGGTGAGTCCTATTGAAGCTTACGAAGAATGGTTAAAAACGCGTGTTATGCAACACTGCGACATCGAAGTGAATTTCCAAAGATGCGAACTGTCGCTGAAGAAGAACAAACTACAGTTGCTTGGACAATGGGTGAATCAATTCCCGCATTACGTCGAGCTGCTGGGACGAGTCACTAAGCAAACCACTGTGCAAAGTGCTACCGTGCAGTTACATCGGAACAGACACTGGATGCGCCTAGTTGGAAGAAACCACAACCTGATTAGGTGGGAAGCAGACACAAGGGATTATTTACTGCCTCCAAAAATGACTTATAATGTGGGTACTTGTGCCGGAGGTTTGGAATGGTTACCGCCAATACTGGATCCGTGGTTGAAGAAAAACCTACCTAAATGGACTGTTTACATTGCGAAGACGTCGTCAACCAGCCATCTGGAAGCATACCAAAAAGATGCATATAAGAAGTATGATACTAAGAAATATGTTATAGATAGTGTTAGATTGCTGGCAACATATCAGGTCTCCAGTAATGATAGCGGAGAGACGGAAAATGCGCATTGCATACCAGTTGAAGAATTCGATAAGAGCCAATACAGCGGTATAAAGGATCGCACTGTGGAATATATACCTAAAGAGGAAAATAAAATTGTGAAAATAGCGAAAACAACAACCGAAACAATTTCCACCATTTCCTCAGTGATATCAGATGCGGCCTCAACCATCTCCAAGCTAAGTGGCAAATCCAAAACATCGAAATCGGCATCCCACAAGACCTCGAGTAAACACGCGGTGGAAATGGCAGTGGCTAATAACTATATACTCCCGAAAGACCATGATACAACATGTGCTGGGTCCAAACGCATAGTCACGAAAGAGATTGTTGTACGAAAAGAACCACTGTCCATCCAGGTATTCGACAT